GGGGGGGGGGGGGGGGCAAAAAATATTATTACATTCACTGATACTGATAGTACTGATACAGTAAATTCAAATATTTAATACATTTTATTCAAAGATGGCAAAAATTCAGTCATTTAGAATGTTGTAGCAATACTACAACTTTATAGAAATATTTTGTCAAATGGCTGCAAAATTCATTTTGAAACTTATGTACAGACAGCAAAATTGTATAATATTACATTAAATCTAAAATTAAAGTTTTTCAAAATATTTAAAAACCATTTTAAAGGACAGTGATAACATAAGCTCAACCATTTCAAAAGAGGGGATGGAATAAAGCAGCACCCCCTATCATGATCTTCTGGATAACAAAACCTTCGTTTTAGACAATTGGTTAATTCCTAAAAATAAATAGCTGGTTCAGTCCAACAAACAATTTCTAGCACTCAAAAGACTCCTGTGATATCGCTGCTCTTTTCATCATCTGTTCTCATCTTTTTATGAACAGAAAGTAACAAACCTATGAGGGTGGTTCAATAAGTCTTTGATCTGGGTATGAAGGAATCGTCGTAGAGTAGTGGCCTAATGAAATTTCGCCAGCCTTTAGACATTTATTTGGAACACACCATGACAAGATCTTTCGCTTTCTACGGCAGGGTACCTACCCATTTCCACCAGGGTGAAGTGAGGACAATTTGTGTAAAGTTCTTTTCCCACGCACACTAACCTAACATATTTTCTGTAGCAAGGTACCACACATCAAGATAAAAATGAGCAAACTCTCTGGAAAGACGACTTTCATCAAGCATTTAATTTGCTTTAAATAAAAGGATTTTATGGAAGTAAACATTCAATGAAAAAAGTTGGCAGTATTCAGACAAAGGAAGGAAAAGCCTGAAGCCCTTTTCTAATATATGTGTGTGTGTGTGTGTGTGTGTGTGTGTGTGTGTGTGTGTGTGTGTGTGTGTGTGTGTGTGTGTGTGTGTGTGTGCCTGGAGAAAGGTCGCAGTTGTCTGCAAAGCTATTTTTGAGCAAAAGGGGTGAAAAGGCCAAAAAAGACGTACAGGGTCAAAAATGTATTTCCATCAGAAAACACAAGTTTAACCATTTCTTAATATCATATTGAAAGGATTTTATAACATTTAAGTCTAAATATTTTTTCATTACTTCATTTTACGTGTTGTACTTCCCCAAAGCTTAAAAAATGTGCTATAATTGAGTTTTTCTCCAACCTTTATACACTTTGCGTTACAAAATGTGGCATGTCTTTAAAACTACTCAAGATATGCTCCAAAATGGCATTTTCAGCATTGAATTTGCTACAAGAATAAACCCTTATTTCAACATCCAAAATTTCAGACAACTAGGAACTTTCTCCAGGCACACACACGTATATATGCATGTCAACTCCTCAGTGTAAGACTGTCATATGTCACTTTACGAAATGGCATATGACGGCGGAGTCATACACTAAGCAGTCAATGTATGTATATATATATATATATATATATATATATATATATATATATATATATATATATATATATATATATATATATTAGATACACACAAATGTATGAGTTACATTACATCAAACAAATATATACAAAAATTGCACCTGCACCTTCATCTGTTGCAGTAAGATGAAGCTCTTTGCCACGCTCACAAAAGACGTGAGTTTGATTACTGCAAGGGGAGTATATGTTATTGAAAATCCCTGTCTTTCTGTTTGGCTGTAGCATCCTCCCGTACAGCTTGGTATGACCCTGATTGACACAGTCGAAGGAGCTTCTTTCCAAACAGATATAAATAATAATAATAATAATAATAATAATAATAGATAGCATTTGTATAGCGCAAATCCCCGCTCAACAGCAAGCTCTATGCGCTTCACAATCTATACTATTACCCCAGCAGACCTGAGAGCATTCTGAAACAAATTCAACTTCCTGGGAAGCATACAGTGCAAGCAGGCCATTTATAGACGCTAAAACACCAACATACTGACAAGATCTTTCACTGTCTATGGCCGGGTACCCATTTCCACTTGGGAGAAGTGAGGAAAAATCGTGTAAAGCGTCTTTCCCAAGGACACAACGTCTGGTCCGCGGCTCGAACCCCCAACCCCGCACGCAAGATTTAAATTCTGTCAATATGGGAGCAAAACATGTAAAATCAATTAGTAATTAGTCAGCCCTTTAGTATCTGGCATACCTAAGAATTGCTTGATAGAACAATCAGCACGGGGGAAGATCTGCAACTTCTTTCTATCTATCATATTCCAAATCATGTAATTATGTCCCCTGTTTGTCCACAGAGTACCTTATTATCTGTTAATGCTGAGGGAGGGAGGGAGTGAGTGAAGGAGGGAGGGACAGACAGAGAGAGTGAGAGAGGGACAGAGAGAGAGAGAGAGAGAAAGCCATGTGTTAATATGATGCTATGCATAATTATTTTGTGTCACTCATTATGCTGTTGAAAGAATACTGTCAAAATTTTCCAACTGAGAATTTTTATTAAAGTATAAATTTCTTATCTAAGAAAAAAGAGCAAAGCCCTGCCCAAAAAACACTTGAAACAGATTATTCTTGAGAAATTATATTAAAAAAACAAAACAATTACCAGTTAGGCAATAATTTCCAAATTTACAAATAACACTTGGCTAATTAATTACTTCTTACAATCGATAGGAATTGTTTCAAAGTGAGATGGCAATTAACTATGAGTCTTTGGTTACTTCAGAAAAATGTGATGAAAAAGAAGGGAAAAAAAGTGATGAAAGTTCATGTGAAGAAAAACACTTTGATAAAAGAAGTATCACATGTGTCAGATGTTAAAAAATCAGTTTCCAGCTTAGATCCAAAGAAATAAACACTGTTCAAAAACATGTCACAACATCAATTATACGACCAAGAACACAATAGTAAAAGCTTGGAAAAAAATTCCAAGATAAAAAAATTTGAAGAAAAGGAGAAAAAGCGGAAGACACAACAAGGAGTGAGAAGGCATCAAGAAGAAGGCAATGTCCCTTCTCTCAAACCAGAGACAAGAGTCATTCAGGTACTTTTTGTACCTCTGGCTTCGTGTCTTGCTTAGTCTCAGGCAAATGTAACCTTTGCATGGTGGTCCATCATCAACACCAGAACTCCACATTCCATTTAGTTGAGAAAAATCATGCAAAATACATACGTATGGCATCATGGGGAAATCAAGTGCTCATCAAAATAACAAAATTGAAGAAACTGACATTTTTCCAACCACTGGGCAATTCTGATCATTTTCTGTTTTCGGATTTTCGGGGGGGGGGGGGGGGGGGGGCACACCTTCTATGTCCATTTAAAAACAGTTTTTTACTGTTGAATTTAAGAAAATTGTTGATCAATGGCACAAAACTTGTATATTTGCAGTTCTCAAAGACACGCAGGCTTTGGAAGTCAACAAACTTTGGCTGCTAATTTCTGGTTAATCTTATCTCCGAGACCCGGCAGTCCCCATCTCCTTTACTCACAAATATCTCGACTTCTGTGCAAAATAAATTTTTTAATGTTTTTCATTAAGTGCAAGAAAAATACACAGGCTTTAAGATTATACCAATGACTCCTTAAGCTCCAAAATTGTCAAGCACCTGATTCCTCTACCTCATGACCATATGAATCCACAAACAAACATAAATGAGTGGTATGGGTTTAATGCCCGCCCTGCCCTATCATCATTACAAAGTCATTTAAGAGGCAGGACCCCTGAATATAATACCCATATATCCCATGGTACCAAACCTAGAGGGTGAACAGTTTTGACAACTCTCTACCTCAGAATTATAAAGTTCTGTCTGCTCAATACCTAGTTTTGAGAAATTTGACGTCAAAATTTCTGAGTTTCACATCATGCTAGGCTTTAACGGATGCACTTCTTTGAATGTCTTGATAACGACTCCGAATGTTTTTATGATTTTGATAGAGCAGGTAGCACATTTGATTTCTTCCCTCGTAGTCTTAGTAATTCAAAATTGCCAAAAATGTCAGATAGAACTTCGTAATTCGGAGGTAGCGAACTCCCCAGACAAGCCTTTCTCCAGAATATGTCACAGGGTCCAAAAGAGTGGGTTAACCCGCTGTATTATCAACAACAACAACAAGAAACATCTGTGTCTCAAAACCCTAGAGAATCTTTCTCATCTTCAACAAGACCTTCCACTCAGCAGACAGCAGTTTCTCAGAGAGAACAACAAAAGAACACATGACCTGACCCTGAAGGCGGAAGCACTCTGCTCAGTGTCACGGATAGATGCAAGAGACTTATTACTAATTCTGTTCCCATCTAAATCTGTCAGCCGCACACTCTCACACACACACACACACACACATGCACCCATACACACACACACTTACACACACAGAAATACACACAAACATACACACACACATGCACCTAAATGCACACATACACACACACTTACACACAAACACACTCACAACAACAACTATTTTTCAGAGAGGATTATGGAGGACTGGACTGCCTAACTCATTACCAGAAGGAGACAGTGGCTCCACAATTATTTGGAGAGAACCAAAGAAGATTGAACTGCCTCACATGTTTAAGAGGACACGACGAGAATTCATTTTTGGGGGTTGCAGATAGGCGCAACAGAGAAATTATTACTAACCCTACTCCCGTTCCTCCTAAATCACATGCATGCACGCACACACACACACAAGCACCCATACACACACACACTTACACACACACACACATGCACCCATACACACACACACTTACACACACACACACAAACACACTCACACACTCACAACAACTATTTTTCGGAGAGGATTATGGAGGACTGGACTGCCTAACTCATTACCAGAAGGAGACAGTGGCTCCACAATTATTTGGAGAGAACAAAAGAAGATTGAACTGCCTCACATGTTTAAGAGGACATGACGAGAATTCATTTTTTGGGATTGCAGATAGGCGCAACAGAGAAACTATTACTAACCCTACTCCCGTTCCTCCTAAATCATATGCATGCACGCACACAATGATAAAACTCTATGACACATCTATGCATATGAATATCTTTATAAAGAAACAAGCAAGTACGCCCAAACATTAAAATGCAAGCACATACAGGTATCAAATGTTCATGGGCATAAATTCAGATTAGGGCTAAAAAATTATTGTGGTCTTAATTTTACTATAGACTAAATGCAAATGATTTGAGCAAACTTTCATTCCTCTTTGGCTGGGAGGCTCAACTCATCTTTTCCTCTGCCTACAAAAGAGTGCATGAACTTGTCTGCTCGGAAAAAGCGAATGACCTCCAACATGGCTGACACTGGGATGATCCTGGGGGAGGGGGGAGGGGGGAGAGAGAAATAAACAGTTGACTATTCAAACCAAATTAAAAGAAGGGTCTTTCAGGATCTGAACAACTTCTGTAAGTGTAAACATACAGATGAAGCTTCATCGGAGTCTATGAGTGCAGCAGTAAGGCACTTTGTTGTCGCATGCAGAAGACCTGAGTTCAATTCCAATGGGGAGAGAATTTCTATTGAGTATCTCTGTTTTTCGTCTCGGACATGGTATCCCTCTCAGCACATGTTGGCCTGGCAGGCCGGATCGAAGCATCCTTCCTCCTCTAAATCATAGAAATTATGTTGATGTGGGTGTGAAACGCGTAGGCCCTACAACTTGTTTTTTGCAAAGCTTCAGTGGGAAAAATTCTATCATCTTACACTACGTTTATTGTTTGAAGGACTCAAGACAACGTAAACCAAACTTTTATTATGTTATGCAACTAGATCATTATTAGATCCCTTTACTGTAACAAAAGTCATTCTCCAAAGCGGTAAATCACATTGAAATTGAAGGTCCTCAAGGCTCTGATAATTTGAACCGACTCAAACCATAAAGTAAAAAATAATCACATGTTGCTGGATTAGCGTTAAGTATGTTTTACTTCCCCAACAACACACTTTAGATCAGTCAGTGAACACGCTGCCTTGATCCTGTCTGTTAGAGCCAACCCATGATGAGAAGGATACAGATATAATAATAATAATAATAATAATAATAATAATAATAATAGTAATAAT